CCCTTCCCAGGAGGGTCCCACGACTTCAAACCCCCAAAGCTCCATTTGGGACCCCAAATCTCCCCCCAGGATGGGGAGGGGTCCTACAACCCCCAAATCTCCATTTCAACCCTAAATCCCTCCCAAAAACCCTCCCACACCCCCCCAAACTTCCCCCAAACTCCCTCAAATCCCAGGGGGTCCACGACTCTCAATCCCCGGGGGTCTCAGGGCAGGGGGTCGGTGGCTGGCCCCAGTCGAGTCCTGGGGCTTCATCACGTCCGCGCAGCTCCGGGGGCTGGAGAAGGGCTCGATCCTGAGCCCCTCGAGCGCCTCCTCTGCGGGGAGGGGCACGCGGGGTTGGGGGAGGAGAGGAGGAACCCCAAATCCCCTCCCGCCACCCCAAAATCACCCTCAGAGCCTGAAAATCCCACCCAGGAAACCCCAAACCCCTCCAGAAGCCCCCAAAAATTCCCCAGGAACCCCAGAAACCCCCAAATCCTCCAGGAACACCCAACCCCTCCAGGAATCCCCCAGTATCCACCGAGGAACTCCCAAAATCCTTCAGGAACCCCCAGAGACACTCCAGGAACCCCAGAATCCCTCCAGGACCCCACAAAATCTCCCCAGGAACCCCCAATATCCCTCAGGAAGCCCCCCAAATCCCTCCAGGAACACCCAAACCCTCCAGAAGCCCCCAAAACCCCCACAGGAACCCCCTAAACCCCACAGGAACCCTCTAAACCCCCTCAAGATCCTCCAAACCCTCCAGGAACCCCCAAAATCCCCCCAGGAACCCCTATAACCCCCTCCCCAGACCCCCAAAAAACCTCCCCCAAACTCCCCCAGGATTCCCCCAAAATGATTCAGAGAGACCCCAAAACCCCCAAATCCCCTCAAAATCACTCAAAGAGACTCCCCAAGCCTCCCAGCCCCACTGACCCTCTCCCTGAGAGGCCAGCCCTATGGTGGCCGGGGCCCCCAGGACCCCCAAGCCCCTCCAAACCCCCCAAACCCCCAAATCCCCTCCAAATGACCCAAAGAGACTCCCCAAGCCCCCCCATCCCACTGACCCCCTCCTGAGGGCCAGCCCACGGTGGCCAGGGCCCCAGGACCCCCAAACCTCCTCCAAACTCCCCAAATCCCCTCCAAATCCCCTCAAAATGACCCAAAGAGACCCCCAGCCCACTGACCCCCTCCTGAGGGCCAGCCCCACGGTGGCCAAGGCCCCAGGACCCCCAATACCCTCCAAAACCCCTCCAAACCCCTCCAAACCCCAAATCCCCCAAATCCCCTCAAAATGACCCAAAGAGACCCCCAGCCCCACTGACCCCCTCCTGAGGGCCAGCCCCCATGGTGCGGGGCCCCTAGGACCCCCAAACCCCCTCCAACCCCCCAAATCCCCCAAATCCCCTCAAAATGACTCAGAGAGACTCCCATCCCCACTGACCCCCCTCCCTGAGGGCCAGCCCCACGGTGGCCGGGGCTCCCAGGACCCCCAAAACCCCCTCCAAACCCCCCAAATCCCCCCAAATCCCCTCAAATCCCCTCAAAATGACCCAAAGAGACCCCCCCATCCCCACTGACCCCCCTCCCTGAGGGCCAGCCCCACGGTGGCCGGGGCCTGGGGCCGCGCTGTTTGACTCGTGAAGCCACAATCGCCCAAAGTCTTCGAGTCCTCGAGGAGCTGATCGTCCTGGGGGGGCAAAAACACCACAAATTCACCCCAAAAACCCCCCAAATACACTCAGAGACCCCAAAAATACACTCAGGGATCCCAAAAACCCCACCCTGATCATCCGGGGGGGGCAAAACCACCAAAAATTCACCCAAATTCACCTCAAAAACCCACCCTGATCGTCCTGGGGGGGGCAAAAACACCAAAAATTCACCCAAAAATACACCCTGGGACCTCCCAAACCCACCCTGATCGTCCTGGGGGGGCAAAAACACCACAAATTTATTCAAAATCACCCCAAAAACCCACCCTGATTGTCCTGGGGGGGCAAAAACACCACAAATTTATTCAAAATCACCCCAAAAATACACTCAGGGATCCCAAAAATACACTCAGGGATCCCAAAAACCCCACCCTGATCGTCCTAGGGGGCAAAAACACCACAAATTCACCCCAAAAACCCCCCAAATACACTCAGAGACCCCAAAAATACACTCAGGGATCCCAAAAACCCCACCCTGGGACCTCCCAAACCCACCCTGATCGTCCTGGGGGGGCAAAAACACCCCAAAATCACCCAAATTCACCCCAAAAACCCCACCCTGATCATCCTGGGGGGGTAAAACCACCCCAAAATCACCCCAAAAATGACCCCCAAAACACATTTTAACCCATTTTTAACCCATTTTTAACCCATTTTAAACCCATTTTAAGCCCATTTTAACCCATTTTTAACCCGTTTTTAACCCATTTTTAACCCATTTTAACCCACTTTAACCCATTTTAACCCATTTTTAACCCATTTTTAACCCATTTTAACCCATTTTAACCCATTTTAAGCCATTTTAACCCATTTTTAACCCACTTTAACCCATTTTAACCCATTTTTAACCTGTTTTTAACCCATTTTTAACCCATTTTAACCCATTTTTAACCCATTTTAACCCCATTTTAATGCACTTTAACCCATTTTCCCCCATTTTAACCCATTTTCTACCTTGTAGAGCCTCTGGTGCTCGGGGGGCCGGTGCAGGATGCCCTGCACGATGCGTTTGAGCTCCAGGACAGTGGAGGATTCCTTGGCCTCGGTGAAAATCGTCGTCTTGTGGCGCCGGATCATCAGGAACACGTCCTGGGGGCGGGGCGTGGCAAAGGGGGGCGTGGTTAATGAAAAAAGAGGCGTGGCCAAGCAAAAAAGGGGCGTTCCCATCTGCATTGGGGGCGTGGTTAATTCACATAGGGGCGTGGTTTAACCTTATAAGGCGTGGTCTGCACGCGGGGGGCGTGTCCTTCTCGAAAAGGGGGCGTGTCCTGCCTATATAAGGCAATTGGGGCGTGTCTTATGTCCTGAAGGGGGCGGGGCTCTCAAGAGGGGGGCGTGTCCTCCTCTGAGGAGGGGGCGTGTCCTGCCATATAAGGCGATTGGGGGCGTGTCTTATGTCGTGAAGGGGCGGGGCTCTCGAGAGGGGCGTGGCCTCCCTGAGGGGGCCCCGCGAGGGGAGGAGTTGGAGGGGAATTTGGGGGTGGGGAGTCCTGTGGGGGTTTCCCTCCCCGTTTGGGGCTCTCCAGGGTGGGGGAGGGTCCCGCCTGCCCCGCTGAGCCCCCCAGGGCTTATTCCAAACCCCGACCCCTGAACCCCCCAAAAATCCGTCCCTACCATCGCGGCCGCTCCTCCGGCTCCCTCAGCGCCGGGTCCGCCGCGATCCCAGCGGCTCCCGCGGCGCGAACGGCGCAGGCGCAGCCGGCGAAACCACGCCCAACTCGTTAATTATTTTATTTAATTTTGATTCGCCATCTTGGGAAGGTCCGCGCCGAACCCTCAGGGAGGCGCCGCCATCTTGGGAAGGTCGGGGGGTTTTTCGCGCCATTTTGTGAGGGTCGGGAGCGGCCGCCATTTTGTGTGGGGAGCGGGCGCCATCTTGGGGAGGGAACGGGGGGGTTTGGGATTTTGGGGTTTGGGAGATTTTAGAAGTTTGGGACGGCCTTTTGGGGGTTGAGGGCTTGGGCTGGACTTTGGGGCCTGTGAGCTTGCAGGGCCTTGGGCCTTTTGGGGGTCAGGCCTTTGGGGGCTGGATCTGGGGCCAGGGAGCCTAGGGAGTTCAGGATACCTGGGGTCGGGCCTTGGGGGCTGACTCAGAGACTTGCACGACCTGGGGCGGCTCTTGGGGAGATTAGGGCTGGACCTTAAGGGACTTTAGGGTCTAAAGCTGTGCTTTGGGGTCAGGGCCTTGGGGGCCGATCTTTAGGGCCTGGGGATCTTAGGGCCTAGTGGCCTTTGGGGGATGGGCCTTTGGGGCTCTGATCTTGGGGGCTTGAGGGGATCTTTAGAGGGGTCAGGGCTGCCTTGTGGGGCTGGGCCTTGGGGGCTGGACTCTTGGGAGTCTGGGGACTCTTAGGAGCCTGGGAGGGCCTGGGGCTTTTGGGGGCTGGAGGCCTTGGGAGATTTTAGGGGAGTTGGGGATTGTAGGAGCTTGGAGGGGTTTGGGGTTTGTGGGGATTTGGAGGTTTTGAGGGGACTTTGGGGATTTGAGAGGGGTTTGGGAGCTTTGAGGGGCTTGGGATCTGGGGAACTTGGGGCCTTTGAGGAGCTTGGGGACTTTAGGCTTTGGGGAGTTTTAGAGGGTCAGAGGGGTTTGAGGGGTTTAGTGGGGATTTGAGTGGGTTTGGGGGGTTTTGGGAGAATTTGGGGGCTTTAGGGTTTTGGGGTTGGGGAGTTTTAGGGTTTTGAGGATTTTAGAGTTTGGGAAGTTTATGGGGGTTTTTTGGGGGTGGGGCTTTGTGGATTTTGGAGGGTCGGGGGATTTAGGGGTAGGATTTTTGGGGGATTTTGGGGGTTTGGGGGATTTTAGGGGTTTGGGGGAGTTTTAGGGTTTTTTTGGGGGTTGTTGGTTTGGGGGTATTTTGGGGGCTGTGGAGATTTTGGGGGGTTTTGAGGAGTTCTGGGGAATTTTAGGGGGTTTGGGAGTTTTGGGGTTTTGGGGGTTAAGGGGATTTGAGGGAGTTTTGGGGGATTTTAGGGAGGTCTTGAGGGGGTTTTAGGGGGAATTTAGGGGGATTTCCCTTCCTCCCCCCAAATTTGGGGTGCCTGCCCCTCCCCTTTCCCTCCCTCCCTCCCCCCAATTTGGGTCCCCTCGCCCTCCCCCCACCCCGTGGCTTCACCCCACTTTTTTGGGGATGGGTGGGGGGAGGGTGTGGGTGTGTCCCCCCGCCCCTCCTCCCGCGTGGGCGAACCCGTCGGACGGCGTCGCCCCGCCCCTCCTCCACGCCGCCCCTCCCCCCACCCCCCGCCCCCATTTAAGGGGTTCCCACGGGGGGAGGGCGGCCCGCGGGTTTTTGGGAGGTGTTTTTTTTGGGGGGCGCGATGGGGACCCCGAGGGCCCTCCTGCCCCTCCCCCTCCTGCTGCTCGCGACCCTCGGCTGTGACGTCACGCCCCGGGACCCCCCCACGGGTAAGATTTGGGGGGAGTGGGGGTGGGGGGGTCTCTCTCTTTGGGATCCCATTTTGGGGATCCCCGGGTGGGTTTTTTGGGGTTCCCCTCCTTTCTGGGACCTGATTTTTGGGGTCCCCCGGGTGGGATTTTTGGGGTCCCCCCTTTATGGATCCCAATTTTTGGGGTTCCCTTTATTTGGGACCCCATTTTTGGGGGTCCCCCAAGTGGATTTTGGGGTCCCCCCGTTGAAGTTTTTGGGGTCCCCCCCTTTTTGGGACCCCATTTTGGGGATCCCCGGGTGGGATTTTTGGGGTCCCCTGAATGGGATTTTTTTGTGGTCCCCCTGGTGAAGTTTTTGGGGCCCCCCCTTTTTTGGGACCCCATTTTGGGGTCCCCTCGTGAAGTTTTTGGGGTCTCCCCTTTCTAAGCCCCGATTTTTTTGGGGTTCTCTTTATTTGGGACCCAATTTTTGGGGGGTCCTGGGGGGGATTTTCGGGGTCCTGGGATGGATTTTGGGGTCCCGGGGGGGGTAAATTTGGGGGTTCACCCCCTCGTGACCCCCCCCTTTTTCCCACCCTCCCCCCAGATGGGACCTCTGAGATGTCGGAGACCGAGTTGGGTGAGTCCCAAATGGCCCCAAAATTACCCCAAAATGTCCCCTAAATGTCCCCAAATGACCCCAAAATGTCCCCAGATGGCCCCAAAAATGTCCCCAAATGACCCTTTAATGTCCCCAAATGACCCTAAAATGTCCCCAAATGACCCCAAAATATCCCCAAATGACCCCAAATTGTCCCCAAATGACCCCAGGGGGTCCCCAAATGTCCCTCCCCATCTTGGGTGACCCCCAATTCCCCCTGACCTCCTCTGATGTCCCCAAAGTGTCCCCAGATGACCCCCAGGGGGTCCCTCAGGTGTCCCCAATGTCCCCAACCCTCCTCCCATGTCCCCAAGGTGTCCCCAAAGTGTCCCCAAATTGTCCCCAACTCTCCCAAAGTGTCCCCAGAGTGTCCCCCGTGTCCCCAACCCCCTCAAAGTGTCCCCAGAGTGTCCCCAACCCCCCCAAACTGTCCCCAAGTGTCCCCAAATTGTCCCCAACTGTCCCAAAGTGTCCCCAAAGTGTCCCCCCTGTCCCCAACTGTCCCCAGTGTCCCCAAGGTGTCCCAAATATCCCCAATCCCCCCCATCCCAAGTCCCCCAAAGTGTCCCCAGTGTCCCCAGAGTGTCCCCAATCCTCCAAATTGTCCCCAACCCCCCAAAGTGTCCCCAGAGTGTCCCCAACACCCCCAAAGCGTCCCCAACCCCCAAAGTGTCCCCAAAGTGTCCCCAAAGTGTCCCCAAATTGTCCCCAACCCCCTAAATGTCCCCAAAGTGTCCCCAACCCCCAAAGTGTCCCCAACCCCCCAAGTGCCCCCAATGTCCCCAACCCCCCAAAGTGTCCCTGAAGTGTCCCCAAATTGTCCCCAACCCCTCCCAAAGTACCTCAAAACACCCCCAAAGTGTCCCCAAAGTGTCCCCAAAATGTCCCCAAATTGTCCCCAAATTGCCCCCAAAGTGTCCCCCTAACCCCTCCTCCCCCAGTGTGCGGCCGGCCGGCCCCTCCCCGCTGGTGCGGAACGTGGGGGAGGACGCGGGGAGGGCGGTGGCCGTGGCAGGGCAGCCTCCAGCGGGGGGGCACCCACGTGTGTGGGGTGTCCCTCGTGGCCCCCAGTGGGTGCTGACGGCGGCTCACTGCCTGCAGGGGTGAGCGGGGACCCCGGGGGCAGGGGAGGGGCAAGGGGACCTGGGGGAGTGGGGATAGGGGACCCATGGTGGGATCAGTTCTGGGGACCCCGGGAGCGCGGGGAGGGGCAAGGGGGACCCGAGGGCGGGGGACCCCACGGTGAGATCAGTTCTGGGGTCTCCAGGGGGCGCGGGGACCCGGGTGGGGGTGGTGGGACCCCATACTGGGACCAGTTTTGGGGTGCCATGGTGGGTGGGGGTGGGGGACCCCATACTGGGATCAGTTCTGGGGTCTCCAGGGGGTGGGGGACCCCACGGTGGGACCAGTTCTGGGGTCTCCAGGGGGTTGTGGGGTGGGGAAAGGGCCCTGGGACCAGTTTTGGGGTCCTCAGGTGGGTGGTGGGTGGGGGACCCCCATACTGGGACCAGTTCTGGGGTCCTCAGATGGGTGGGGGTGGGGGACCACCAAGGTGGGATTATTTCTGGGTTGCCATGGTGGGTGGGAGGTGGTGGGACCCCATACTGGGACCAGTTTTAGGGTCTCATGATGGGGTGGGGGCTCCAGTTTCGGGGTTCCCACAGCTGGGTGGGGTGGGGAGGGGCCATGTCCCCCTCCCACCCCTCCCCCACCCCCCCTTCCCCTCCCCCTGCAGGAGCCGGGACCCCCGGGCGTACTCGGTGCTGTTGGGGGTGCGGGAGCTGTCGGGACCCCCCGGGGTGGGCGTGGCCGTGCCCTTGGCCGAGCTCCTCCCCCACCCGGGGTACGCGGGCGAGGCCACGAGCGGTGACATCGCCCTGGGCCGCCTGGCCCGGCCCGTCCCCTACGGCCCCACCGTCAGACCCGTCTGCCTCCCCTCCCCCACCCTCACCTTCCCCCCCGGCACCCGCTGCGTCGCCACCGGATGGGGGGACGTCGCCGAGGGAGGTGAGGAGGAGGGGCTGCAAAAAGGGGGGGAGGGGTCAACTGGGGTGGACTGAGGTCAACTGGGGTCAGTGGGTGTCACTTGGGGTGAACTGAGGTCAACTGGGGCAACTGGGGGCAATGGGAGTCAACTGGGGGCAACTGGGGTGGACTGAGGTCAACCGGAGTCAACTGAGGTCAACTGGGATCAACAAGAGTCAACTGGGGGTAATTGGGCTCAATGGGAGTCAACTGGGGTCAACAGGAGTCAACTGGGCTCAATAGGAGTCAACTGGGGTAAACTGGAGTCAATGGAGCTCAACTGGGGTCAATGGAACCCAACTGGGGTCGAGGCCACCCAACTGTGGTCAATGGGACCCAATGGGGGTCACAGAGGGTCAATGGGACCCAACTGGAGTAAAGGAAGGTCAAAGGGACCCAACTGGGGTCAAGGCCACCCAACAGGGGTCAATGGGATCCAACTGGGGTCAATGGGACCCAACTGGGGTCAATGGGATCCAACTGGGGTCAATGGGACCCAAGTGGGGCCAAGGGGAATCAAAGCCACCCAACTCGCCTCAAGGGGGGTCAATGGGACCCAACTGGGGTCAATGGGACCCAACTGGGCTCAAGGGCACCCAACTGGAGTCAATGGGACCCAACTGGAGTCAATGGGACCCAACTGGGGTCAATGGGACCCAACTGGGGTCAAGGGGGGTCCATGCCACCCAATGGGGGGTCAATGGGACCCAACTGGATTCAATGGGACCCAACTGGGGTCAAGGGGGGTCAATGGGACCCAACTGGGGTCAATGGGACCCAATGGGGGTCAATGGGACCCAAATGGGCTGAAGGGGAATCAAAGCCACCCAACTGGATTCAATGGGACCCAACTGGGGTCAAGGGGGGTCAATGGGACCCAACTGGGGTCAATGGGAGTCAATGGGGCCCAACTGGGGTTAATGGGAGTCAGTGGGACCCAACAGGGGTCAATGGGACCCAAGGGGGGTCAATGGGACCCAACAGGGGTCAATGGGACCCAACTGAGGTCAAGGCCACCCAACAGGGGTCAATGGAACCCAACTGGGGTCAAGGGGGGATCAAGGCCACCCAAGGGGGGTGAGTGGGACCCAACTGGGGTCAATGGGACCCAACTGGGCTCAATGGGACCCAACTGGAGTCAATGGGACCCAAGGGGGGTCAATGGGACCCAACTGGGGTCAAGGGGGGTCCATGCCACCCAATGGGGGGTCAGTGGGACCCAACTGGAGTCAAGGCCACCCAAGGGGGGTCAATGGGACCCAACTGGGGTCAAGGGGGGTCAATGGGACCCAACTGGGGTCAATGGGACCCAACTGGAGTCAGTGGGACCCAACTGGGGTCAAGGAAGGTCAAAGGGACCCAACTGGGGTCAATGGAACTCAACTGGGATCAAGAGGGGTCAAGGTCACCCAATGGGGGTCAATGGGACCAAACTGGGGTCAATGGGACCCAACTGGAGTTAATGGGACCCAACTGGAGTTAATGGGACCCAACTGGAGTCAAGGCCACCCAACTGGGATCAAGGGGGGTCCATGCCACCCAAGGGGGGTCAGTGGGACCCAAGGGGGGTCAATGGGTCTCAATGGGGGTCAGTGGGACCCCAGTGGGGTGAAGACCCCCCCGGGTGTTCCCAGAGGGTCCAACCCCCGCCCCTCCCCCCAGAGGACCTGCCGGCGCCGCGGCGGCTGCAGCAGCTGGAGGTGCCGGTGCTGGCGCTGGGGCTGTGCCGGCGTCTCTACGGCACCGACCTGGGCAGGGCCCTCCCCCCGCCACATCCAGGACGACATGATGTGTGCCGGCCACGCCCAGGGCGGCAAGGACACCTGCAAGGTGGGGGAGGGGCAGCCTGCAGGGAGGAGGACACCTGCAAGGTGGGGGAGGGCGGCCTGCAGGGTGGGGAGGGGACACCTGCAAGGGGAGGGGCAGCCTGGGGAGGGGACACCTGCAAGGTGGGGAGGGGACACCTGCAAGGTGGGGAGGGGACACCTGCAAGGGGGGAGGGGCGGCCTGGGGGAGGGACACCTGCAGGGGTGGGGAGAGGGGGCAGCATTGGGGACACCTGCAAGGTGGAATGGGGAGGGGCAGGTGGGGGGGGACACAGGGACACCTGCAAGGTGGGGGAGGGGCTGGGGCCCGCAAGGTGGGGGAGGGGACACCTGCAGGGTGGGGAGGGGCAGCCTGCACGGTGGGGAGGGGACACAGGGACACCTGCAAGGTGGGGGGGAGGGCTAGGGACACCTGCAAGGTGGGGAGGGACACCTGCAGGGTGGGGAGGGGCAGCCTGCACGGTGGGGAGGGGGACACAGGGACACCTGCAAGGTGGGGGAGGGACACAGGGACACCTGCAAGGTGGGGAGGGCAGCCTGGCGGAAGGGGACACAGGGACACCAGTAAGGTGGGGAGGGGACACCTGCAGGGTGGGAGGGACACCATGAGGGGTACCACGGGGACCACCTGCAAGGTGGGACATTGGGGGTCTTGGGGACACCACAGGAGGGTCTTGGTGGCATCTTGGGGGCTTGGGGACACCACAGGGGGTTTGGGGACCACCAGGTTGGGTTGGTGGCACCAGGGGAGGGTTTGGTGACACCTTGGGGGGGTTGGGGGACACCAAGGGGTTTGGGGACACATTGGGGGTTGGGGACACCACAGGGGGTTGGGGACACGGGGTGGGGGAGGGGTTGGGGACCACCAGGTTGGGTTGGGGACACCACAGGAGGGTCTTGGGGACACCTTGGGGAGGGGGGTCTGAGCGTCACCATTGGGGGTCCCCTCCCCTCTGACCCCTCCCCTCTGACCCTTGACCCCTGTGCCCCCCTCAGGGTGACTCCAGAGGGGGTCTCTCCTGGTGTGACCCTTGACCTTTGCCCCCAGGGTGACTCGGGGGTCTCTCCTGGTGTGACCTTTGCCCTTTGCCCCCAGGGTGACTCGGGGTCCCCTGGTGTGACCCGGGGGTCCCTGGTGTGACCTTTGCCCTTTGCCCCCAGGGTGACTCAGGGGGTCCCCTGGTGTGACCCGGGGGTCTCCCTGATGTGACCTTTGCCCTTTGCCCCCAGGGTGACTCGGGGGGTCCCCTGGTGTGCCCGGCCCGGGGCCGGTGGGTCCTGGCGGGGATCGTGAGTTGGGGGAGGGGTGCAGGGTCCCCAAACGGCCGGGGGTCTACACGAGGGTCAGCGCCTACGCCCATTGGATCGCCCCCGCGCCGGGGGCGTGGCCTTCGTCACGCCCCTCCCCCGCAACGGCGCCCCCTGCCGGCCCGGAGGACTCATCGACATCATCAGCATCGTCATCGCTGGGATCGTCCTGGGAGGAGGTGGGGGGGTTTGGGGGGTTTGAGGGGTTTGAGGGGGGTTTAGGGAGGGGGAGGGGTTGGGAAGGAAAACGGGGGAGGGGGTAAAAGGGAAATAAAAATGTGCAAAGGAAATAAAAAAGAGAGGTTTGGGGTTTTTTGGGGGGTGAGTTTGAAATGGGGGGAGGGTCCGAAATTGAGGGGAGGAGGGGGAACGGGTGGAAAAAGGGGGAAAAGGGGTGGTGGGATGGGGGAAATAAAGGGGGGGAAATGAGGGGGAAAAGGGGAATAAAATAGGGGGAAAAAAGGGGGGGAAAATGCAATAATGTGGTTAAAATCAAAGGGAAATAAAGCAGCCGAAAAAAGGGCAATGAAATAGAGACAAAAAAAAAAAAGAGGGGGATAAAATGGCAAAAAAAAAAAGAAATAAAACGGGGGAAAAAAAAGGGGAATAAAAGGGGAAAAAAAAAACCGGGGCGGGGCCAAAGGAGGGGGAGGAGTCACGAGGGGGCGTGACCGGAAGTGCCCCGACCGGAAGTGGCTCCGGATTGGCTGACAGGAAGGGGGGGGCAGGGGCTTCTTTTTTTTTGGGAGGGCGCGTGGCGGGAAACGGAGGAGCGCCGCCGCCCCCCCCAAAACGAAACAGAGCCACAGAGACCCCCAGGACCCC